CCGAGGCCAGAGGATGACATTATCTTGTGTGGCATCATAGTCGTAGATGGGCAACATGAAGAGAGGAAAACTAGTGTCCGTCGCAAGGTGACGTTGTTTTACCAATTTTCTCAAATTTCCTTTGTTAGAATTGACATTTATACGTATTTGAATGTTATCGAATGCTCCTTCTTTCCAGCTCGCTGGTGACGAAAGCGATCCTACTTCCGCGGCTAATCTCCCAAAAGGAGCATTTGTTCGAGGGGTTGCTGGTATTGCGTAAATAAAAACTTTTATTCATCAAAGCATTACAACATCGAATCACACTGAAAATTAGTGAAGTTTCACCACACCTGCTCACTTATAGCTCTAGGTTCTAAGATCATGCGTAATCTCAAATCTGCCCAGAAGAGTAATAATGTTTCTCTGTGAACAGACATACGTGAAATAAAACAAGTGAAAACTATATACAACTCCTATTTCCTAGCCATGGAATAGACCGAACGCTGGAATCGCTTACCAATAGGACATTGGGTGAGACCTTCTTCTAGGAAGTCGGATCCGGTGTCAATGGCCTTGTTGATAGCCTGGAAGAGGGAACTCGAAATTATAATAAGAAACCTCTTCGTGGGTTCACTTATAATTTTCACTTTTATTATTGCTCGCTTTTCATGAGAAAAAATATTGTACATGTCGAAGACGCCAAAGTGTCCATTCAGTTTCCTTTGGAATTACTTGTATAATACAACCGTGCTTTGAAAAAATTACGTTCTCAATAAATGGTGATTATCTGCAGTAATACTGAACACCTACTTCCTATTCCATATTTTTTGAATATTGTCTTTTTGAAATCGAACAGCTACTTCAAGCGAGTTGAGTTAATCAGATCAAATACAGTCGGCAAATTGTTTTTTAGGCTGCTTGATTTTTCGACTATTCCAGTTCCTAACGACTGTTCTAATAAAATAAATTCTCACGTCTTCCCAGCATTTCAGACCCTTGAATCCACCTTCTTCAGCGAACATCTTATCAATCCACTCCGGGTTGAAATAGGTGGTCTCATAATACTCTCCTGGATCGCAGATGATTGTAACAATCGTCAAGCGACCATTATTCTTGTGAGCGTCTCTGGATAAAAATTTTGCGATTCGACCAAGTACAATCGCCAGAGCTTACTTTAGCTGTATAGCCTTGTGAAGCGAAACCAGGAAGTTCAAACCCGTTGAAGCACCACCGCCTATGCCTCTGCCCCTGAGTACGTACATCGCTGCTGTCGATGCGATATCTGGCATTTTCATCGACTCGTCGACGACGCTGGGTGTAAGACTAGAACAATTATGATTATTATTATTATTTACAGCTCACGTGAACAAGAGCAGCCCGCATGCATTTCTCTCCTACCTTGTGGTTTCCCCATAGATAACAGGCTTTACATTGTATCCGTATCCGATGCCAGCAATACCTGGTGGCTTCCATAGTTTCGTTCCTGACT